AAATCTTTATATTCCTTTTAGTGTATAATCTTACACAGCTGTAGTAGCGCATCTCTAGAGTCTTAACATACTTTCAAACACAGATAGCATTTAATAAATTATATAACTATATGGTTAATATATTCCTATATTATAGCAATACGTTAACGTTAAGGCTCTCTTGATTACATATCTCTAGAAACATTGTTATGTGCCCTGGGTTCTTTGCATCTTAGAATGCCAATGAACTTTTGAACCCTACCACTGTGAAGAAAGGTTGACTATTTATTGCCCAGAACAAGAAAAATAAATATAGACCTGTAGGTGCTATCATCCTTCAGAAGTTAATGACTCTGAAAGTTATGCACGCCAATATATTAAGAAGTTTTTTTTAAAGTGATAATCCTCCTGAAGTGAGACCTTCCCAAGACCACTGAAAACTGGTTTTGACTTTTCTCTTGCAGCTTCAAAATGTACAGCTGTTTATCATACAAAACCTCTTTTGTAAAATGAAACTCATATACAAACTCTAATAAAAAAGCAAACAAATTTCTGTTGAACTGTATCTTGCATTTTGTCTCTTCTGAAAGACAGAAAAATCTCTAAGAAACATGTCTCCTATTTTCCTAAGCAGAAAGAAAGAAAATGCTGAATTATAAGAACTATTCCATCAAAATCACTGGCTCATCTAACAAGTTTCCTAATTATTTAATCAACTATTTAGCAAAAGTGTGACTCGGGAAACGTGTTGTTTTGTGTAAAGGCTGATGATAATGAGGCATCCAAAATGTCTCTGCAGACATTAAATGTCACTGAAGTTACACCTACCACAGAGAACCACACCGTATAGACAATGGCAATTTCTGATTTAAAAGAAAAAATAAAAGTGCTCTTTTAATATTGCCGTTTGGTCAACTGAAGCCTGAAGACACTTTGAATGACTAGCCACATTTTCTGCAAGAAATGAGGGACTCTTGGGAGATATTGGTGACAATCCAGCATCAGGAAGCAATTAGCAGACAAGGAAGATTTCAGACACCCCTGACGTGTAAGACAAGCAGCCAGCAGGTGTATCAATACATGTGCATTGACACTCCTTTCAGTTGCAAGATCAGTTCTAAGTTAATGCTCAAACCCAGACAGAGATACTTTAATCCTTCTGCTGAACAGTGCTGAAATGGGCACAAACTCTTGCCTTGGACTGGGAGGGAAATGAGCTTGCTTCCAATAAAACTCTTATTGACTTCAGGAGCGCTGTTATGTGTTCCTGTTATTATTAGGCTTCCAACAATGACTATCCAAAGCACTAAGGCCGTGGTACCTTCCTTCAGGCACACCTGGCAAGACAGAGGAAGCTCAAGTACATTTGGTTCCCTGGGGCTGCCCCCAGGCAGGTGTGTGCAGGCAGGGACATAGGGAAGTGGACACTTTGAAAGGCTCTCCCGGCCCTCAGGAAGCTGAAGGCCTCATGACCCTTTTGAGCACTACTCATGGTTACTTTAGGGGAGAGGTCCATATGGGTCACTTGTAACCTATGGAGCCTTTGAAGGGCACCTCCATTGCAGCCATCCTCAAAAGAAAGAGCTCACCACCGAACAGCTATAGTCTCTCTGAAACTGCAGCAGAACAGGGAGAAGAACTGGGTTGTTGGGTGGTTGGAGCTCTCAGGCAGCCAAAGTCTCAGCAGTTTGTTCTTGCAGGGCCATCAGTGCACAGAGAGCCTGCACCTGGATCATGCCCATCCCATCTCTCGGCTTGCCCTTCCTAGTCTGCATGGCAGTGAGAACCTGCCAAAAGGCTGTTCTGAAGTGCCCCACTGTTGAGATCTCCAGCTTTGTTCCATCAGGCTATCAGCCTGGTAATTTAAAGGCTCACCAAGAATCAAACTTCCAAAGTCCTCACTTTAAAAAATATGTTTCTATTAACCAAGAGTTAGGTATTTGTTTAGCCAGCTACTCAGTATAGAGGCAAAGGACAGTACTGGATGTAAAAATTTACCATGTTTGCTAAAAAGTAGCTCAAGTTCCTGTTTCTTTTTCCATAAATTACTCCACTCATGGACCAGGATTTATATCACGGCCTCATCTCCCACAAACTGCTCATGACTGAAGCTTCCAGGTGCAAGCCCAGAGCAAGTATGTGCCAGAAGCCAGCTCCTCAGGTGCCAGCAGCCATAGCACACACTGGGGCAGAGGCTTAGATCATAAGCAACCGAGGGACAGTGGCAAGAAGGAAAAAAGTCTTTGGCCTCCTCCTCTCCCTCCCCTAGCCAGCGTGCACTTGCCTGGGAAGGGGCAGCAGGCAGAGGGCTTCCATCCCCACTGCTGGCACTGCCCCTGTGCAAAGCCAGGCTCACCAAGGTGCTGCTCAGGTGCCTTCAGCCCTCACTGCACGAGGAAGACCCTGCCAGAGAGGGACAGATGTGCAGCAAACAGGCCACAGGAATGGGGTCCATGAGGCAACACGTGAGGCTGAGGCAAGACAGGCAACAGGAACTTTGTAAAGAATCTAAATCAAGCAGTTCTCCTAAGTATTTGAGCTGACACACGTGCTGTTTGGTGTAGTACGAGAGTGCTTTAAATACCTGCCTTTGGTTGGGTTTATGTAAGCAACACCCTGCTCGCCGTTTCATTTTACACTTTTACTCCTAAGTTATGCGTTCACCTCGCAGTATGCAACACTTGCTCGTGTGCACTTTCACCCAAATACACCCATAATCACCTGTCTGGCTGCATCACTCCCGCTGGGGGCTTATCTTGCATTTGTAAGCATCACTAAGAATAGGGTACAGTGTGTTTCCTTGAGTGCATGTGTGTGCTGGTTTTCTATCATCTGTTTGCCTGCCCAAAGGCTGCTGAGATAGCCTGTCTTTGATCCTGAAAGCCCTTCACGTTTTCATTTAGTCTTAACAATTATACACTTATCTTGGACAGGAAAAGGGAAACCTTAAATGCAGGGTTGGCTAAAACTTGTCTACCGGCCAGTTTTCTATCAGATATTTTGTGGCTTTTTATTGTCTGGAAAACTGAAGAAAACTAACCCTTTGCATAGAGTATCCTGACAGAGAAACAGAACAAAGCCAACAAAAAACTGGGGGAAGAAAGACAATTTTGGGTGCAGTTTCACAAGACAGTTCCAGCTGACCCAACAGCTCACAGCTGCCAAAATGGGAGATGTCGCTTCTTCTCCACGACCTCCTCTTCTTGCTCCTGGCCCTGCATTCCCACCATCTATCTCCTGTGGGTTCCAGCAGTCAGCAGATCAGAAAACTAACCTGCCACCAGATCTCCACATTGGATCTGCTCCAAAGAAGTACAAGAAGTACACGAGCAGGCAGGAGGGAGGAGGTGGGACTACCCAGCCAGGAGCAGGAAGTAGGAACCAGGTGAGGGGGAGAGCGGATCTCCCCATTCAGCAGTAGCTAAACATGCAGGCTGGGCTGGTCATGGAACCACAGTCCAAGGAGATCCAGGCCACTTCCTACAGATTTCAAGGGAATGCATGGCCACAGGTAACTTCACAGGATGGGAAATAATTATGTTGTATCTGTAGATCATCTTGCCCAAAAATAGCCCTGTGTTTAATTACCTAAATAAATAAGACAACAAATGTCATCCTTGATTGTGATACTAATGAGCTGATTCTAGGAGCCAGATTTGTTGAAGTTTCCTCATTCTTTTCCTTAGGGAAAGAATGCAGAGCGTGTGCTTTTACACTTCCTTATAAGATATATATATAGACCTAATGTGATCTTAATAGAAATTTTGTATTAGCCTTCAATCTTCAATTTCTAGTGAAATTAATTAGGAACAGGAGGATTCTTATCAGGTACCTGGACGAACAACTCAGCACTAAGTCCACCCTGCAGAGCCTGTGTGCTGGTGCACCCTGTCACCTTAGGCTTCCCTTCAGGCTACTTTGAAGAGGAATCTCAAGCTTGGAGCAGACATTGGTGTGTACGGGAGCCAAGCCACTAAAACAAAGTTTAGTCCCCAAACATGGATACCACTGGTGTGCATCACAGGGTCCTTACTATGTGGATGTGACCAGTAACAATGTTAGTGTCTGTACTAGAAGCAATGATGGCATCTCTCAAATCAAGCAACTTTTCTATAATTTTGCAGTGTTTTTCTCACATTTGAGCAAAAAGTTCAAAGAAAATTCAAGCAAAAACGAGAGGGAAAGAATTTCTACAATCTCTTTCAATTTACACATAAAACACGCAATAATAGGATTTTTCTTCCTGAATCACGAGACGTTCCATCAACAAGCCAAAAGCCTTAACATTTCTTTTTCTCTTCTGTAGTGCATGGGTGCAGATGGCATACTAAATACATCGCAGAAATTTAAAATTAACTGAGTCAGGCATTTTTGTTAACGGTTTCTGTGCTGCACGGAGCTCCAGTCGCACAGCACTGTTAATTACTGCTGGTGCGGACAGTAGGGATCCCCTTCCATCTGCTGGGACCAGCTGATGCAAAATCCAAACGAGCCCTTCGGATACGGAGCCCCCCTTGAGTGCCACCGCCCGGCAGGGCTGCGGGAGCCGGAGCGCACACGGGGGCTGTGCGGGAGCGGTTCCCTGCGCTGTGCTGGTTTCTCGCTGGAGCGCCGAAACGCGAGCGCTTAGGGTTTGTTTGGGTTGGTTTTTTTTTTTTTCATCTTTAAAGATGCCACTCTCCTGCTGCATCGCTTGATGCCTTCAGGGACCCAGCAGCCTTGCCCCTTGACGCCTCCAATCCCACGCAGGGAAGCAGAGGTGCCCCGGAGCAGAAGACCCCCGAGGCGGTGA